GTAAGGTTGTAATTAATTATAGACTGCTGATGATATTTAGATGTGTTTGATGCTTGCACAAAGATTTAATGGTATTATGAGTTACTCTGACTCGAGTGTTAACAGTTGTTCGTATATGCGAGTTAACGAATGCTTATGAAGCAAAACTGATCGGAGTCTCAACGGAGGCTTTAGAATACGAACGAAGTGATCTGGTCAGAGGATCGACCAGAAGTGCCCTGCGTTTCATGTTTTGTCTCTAGTTTCTATTTTCCCTCTCCCGGGTCTCAAGAACGGTCAGTTAGGAGCTGCAGCGGACCAGCCGAACCTAACAGCCGCGATGCACATGGGAATCATTTGGTTTTGAAGGATCGGTTGTACCCCAGGGAATAAATGAATGAATGGTTTCATGGTCAAGGTGACCGTTGGTGCCTGGGACCGACTTTTGGACTGCGCAGACACATGCCTCACACAGGGTCCGTCTAAGACCCGGAAGAGAAGAATTTTTGGGCCTTTGTTTAGGCAATGGGAATGAATGTTCTGAGTTTATGGTTTGGAACCTTCTAAGCCCTGGGTGGTAATTTCATTAATACGTGATGAACTACCACTCCGGTAGTTTTTAAGAACCATGTTAAATGTGACCGATCGTGTTTTCCGAATTAGTGCAATATACTTGTGAAAGCTGCCATGCCGCGTAACAACAAGAAAAAAAAAAATCCAATTCCATTTAAATAAAAAGTGGATTTGCATTTTTTGAGTGCATCGTTGCATTCACGGAAAAAATGAAATCACAGAAAAATAGACATTATCATACCATTGAACTTTTACATAAACAGCTTTTCTTATCTCTTATCAAATTGAAGATATAACCCGTCAGAAATTGCATGACGTATCCTGTATATTTTTATTAATTAAAAAACATTTATTTAAAGAGTTAATAACTTTTTCTAACAAATTTCTCAGATTGCACGTTCCTTCGGTTCTTCAGAGTAGGCATATATTTTTCAGCAGCGAGGGGTGCTACGGTGCGCTATATAAAATCCACGCGTTCAGACAGTCAGAATTTATCGGAGCGGGACAATTCTATCATTTAGGTTGAAAGAAGGATAGCATGATCACCCTACATCTCACTCTAACCACGCGCCAATGTTTCGCTTTCGTTCTTCAGGCGGATCATCGCGATGCCTCTGACGAGATGAGTGTTTGAATGTGTTTGTAAAAATACTTGAGGCGCTGTTGCCCTCCTAGATCGTGTTGCGCGCACGCTAGCTGAGAATTAAACCTTTCAAGTTTATACCAGACCACGCAAGTGGCTCCACCAGGCCCAACGAAAAAACTGCTGTAATACCGACATCCCGAATCGGAGAGGTCACGTGACGTGTCTACCCCCTTAAAGACATTAATATATTTACTTTCTTTTTTTCTTTTTATATTTTTCAATCTTTGATAATAGGTGTTAGCCATAACATACTCACCGTTTCGGCCCTTGAGGGAGGCTAACAGTCAAAGATTGTAAAATAAAAATAAAAAAATAAAATAAAATGTTATATAAATAAATTAATGAGTGTTGAACTTAAAATATCACGTAAATATGTTCCACTGATGTAAATAGCACATATACTAGTTCCGTTCTTAGACGAAAAGTCGCGATTTTCGGAAATTTTAATTACTTATAACTTTTAAATGCGTTGACCGATCTCGATGAAATTTTTAGCATACACATAACTTATTTGAATCTATGAAAGACATATTTTAAATTTTCATTATAGACTCACATAAAAAAGTTGAAAAATTACCATTCACTATTTTTTTTCACGATTTTAACAAATTGTAATTTTTTAAAACGATGAAAATACATATTTTAGTGAATTAATTTTTATAGGTTTTCAAAAAACCTCAATTTATTTAGTCTAATTTTAACCGAGGTATTCTATTTTGATCAGTGTCTACTCACTTTTGCCTATCACTGTATGTTTTAAATCAGTAATGACGAACCCAAGACCCACAGGTCAAACTCATTTAATTTTTATTTTGTGTTGTTTTTTGTTAGTATATGTAGATTAATTAGTAAATTACTCATCAGTTGAAATAATTGATCAGCAACTTTTAATTATAAAATTCTTAATTTGTTCTGACCTACCACAAATAGTGATTACAATGATATGTAAATTATGTAAAAATTATTTGCAATTTTGTTGTCAAAGTAACTATTCACAGTATTTTACTGAAATAATTCGATTTTATCTCAGGGTCTATAATTGTTTAACTTTGAACAAAAAATTAATTGTCTATTGATAAGTGTATTAAAGATCAGGCTATAATATTTGTTATTATCATGTAAACAACAATGACTGGCAAATTAAAAATATAATATCAATATGTATATCTTAGACGACTCTCCTGTACATACATAATTTATCTCAAAATTCTTTAACAAAATTCATAATTAACTCCTTTCGAAAAAAACATTAACTATCTGATCAAAAATACTTTAAAGATCAGATTGCAGTATCTGATATTATCATATAAACAAATTGAAAATATCTCGTAAATATATAGGTACTCGTATCTCCAGTGATAAATTGTATGAGTTCATACGTACTTATCGTTAGGCTGAACCGACGCTGAATGTGGCGATTTATGTTTATGGCGTCAATGAATATTGGAATTATATTAATACGTTTAATATTTAGGTAATTATAATTATTGAAATTTCATATTAAATATTTTTTTCGAATATATTTTTATCATTATAAATTTATTATATGATTTTGATCAGCAACTGTATCCTTGACTGATCCTGTATCCTTCTGACTGTATAAATTCTGCTTTATTATTCTTACAATGAATAGTAAAACAAGATTTATTGAACGATCAAACGAACTTACCTGTAAGTGAAGTTCGATCGCAATTATATGAAGAGCCTCGTTCGAAGAGATTACTAGTGTAGCTCCTTCTTTGTCCGTTAGAGGTCACAACGTTCAGAGTCAAAAAAGTTTTTGGTAGAGTTGCCTTTTCTCTATGCCGATCTTCATATCTTTAGAATTGTGTGGAAAAAAACGGTGATTAGGGATAAATATATGTATGTATATAAATATATATATACATATTTTTTTTTTTTGGGAGGTAAAGTAATCTCTTCGAACGAGGCTCTTCATATAATTGCGATCGAACTTCACTTACAGGTAAGTTCGTTTGATCGTTCAATTATATTTCATTCGCCTTATTCTCAAGATTACTAGTGTAGTTGTTTACAGAAAGATATCATAATTTTAAACATGGCATATAACGTATACAGGGTGTCCCAGAACTCGCGTTGGTCCCGTGAAGGGGTGGTAGCTGTGGTGATTCTTGTTGGTGTCACGTCCGGAAAATTTTGCAAATTTGTCCACCTCACGTTCCCTTATTAAGCCTTCGGGTTATAGGGGTCTCCTTATGTAAGGAGCGTTAGGGGGATAAATCACTTCTACACTATTTCAATTTTCTTCTCGACTCTGTGCTTTCCCATCAAGCCTTCGGGTTGTGAGGGTCTTCTTCATCTGGGAAATGCACAGGGAAGAGTTTAAGCTTATACTTATTCTATTTTTGTCTTTCCTTTCCTTTAGCTTCTCTTTCATTTCTCTATTCTTTTCTTTAGTTTATTACCCCTCCTTGAAACTATCGTCGTGCTCAACTGCGTAGTAACAGAAACTCGAGATAGAAAAACTCGGTACGACCGAGGAGAAGTATCATAAACAGCGTTCGCTGCGCGGTTAGCCAGTGCTTCGCATTATAGGGGTTTCCTCAGGTGAACTGCGCAAAAGCGTAAAGATCAATTTGTAAGAACTTCTGCCGACACGTGGTAGGAAATCCTTATATTTTATTTTCACTCCTTGTACATTCCTTCGACAAGCGTTTGTTCTCAAGTATAACGAAATAAAGTGTGACACAACACTATTTTTTTGTATAAGTTCCTTTTTATACATTTACGGTTCTTCCCGTACAAAATCCGTATCTATCGTTAGACGAATCGTTCCCTCGTTCGCACTTAACAGACTCTATTCTCTCGCACGTATATCTCTCACGACGCGACGGTCCTTTGTCGAATGCCTCTCCCCCCTTCCGCCAATATTTCGCGATCTCATTAGTCGCGGAATTTAGCTAGTTTCCCCGTTAGATGGGGGTTTCTGTCTGGTGCTTACAGTTCGGCCATCCTGGCGGTACGTTCGTCCTCGAACAACGGAAATTGATTTGGTAAACTTAAAATAAAATATGCGCAGTAACATAAAACAAAAAAAAATACTCAGTCTTGGTTTGATACTTAAGACTAGGATACTTACAAATAGCTAAATATTACTAAACAACGAAAATTAAATGATAAATATACATGTGTAACGAAATAACAAAAGGTTTTTTTTTCCTCACTCCTGTAGTTTTACTTATCCCCTATTTTTATCCACGGTTTGATTTTGTCAGAGGATAAAATCGTGTTCAGCGCTTTCTGTGTTACGTTAAAACCCGGTACATCAGTGACAACGAATCGATTTTTCTTTAATACCTCCTTAATCTGGTAAGGACCTCTGTATTTAGGGAGCAGCTTTTGATTTTTGCCCGGTTGCGATTGCAAGATTTTTATTAAGACTAGGTCCCCCTTTTGATTTCGAGTCGGCTTTTTGTGTCTTTTATCATATTGTGTTTTGTTGTACTCTTGCAAGGCTCGGTTTGCAATTTGTGCTGCATCACGTAAACGTTTGCGATCTTGATCAGTATTAATGTCAATTTGAGTTAGTTGTGTAATTAGAGTTTGCAAATCCCTATCGTCGCTTTGTCGCTGGTCATATCCTAACAACATTTTACTGGGTGTACAATTTATCGCTTTATGTAAAGTGTTGTTGATTACATAGTGCGTTTTTCCTAATTGCTCTTTCCATTTGGACGGTTCTTGGGTTGTTTTCGCTAGAGTAGACTTTAGGAATCTATGTACTCGCTCAATCTGACCATTGGCCCACGGTGATGCCACCGCCGTTAAAACGTGTTTTATATTTTTGTCGCTTAGGAAAGTTTCAAAATCTTTTGAAGTGAAAACGGATCCGCGGTCGCTAATGATACGTACTGGAAATCCAAACATATTTAAAAAGAAGACTTAGAGTTTGTGTGAGTTCCTCAGCGGTAGTGGATTTTGCAGGAAACAACCATGTAAATTTGGTATACGCGTCTATAATCGATAATATAAATTTAAATCCGTCCTCGGTCACCTCCAAGGGCCCAAAATGGTCTAGATGAAGGGTATGCAACGGTATCGCTATTTTTTCGTAAATTTCCATTTCTCCTTCCGGCTTACCCGCGGTTAATGAATAGCTTAAACATTTTACGTAATTTTCTATGTATAGTTTGGTGCGTAACTTCAGGGCTGGAAACCAATAGTGACCTAATATGCCGTGTAGCACCTTGTCAAGACCTACGTGACCCATCTCGTCATGATACACTCTAAGTACACTGTTAATCATGCCCTCGGGAATTACAAATAAATGCTTATCCTGATATTTTCGAAAAACTAAACCTTCGATTAACACATAGTATTTATCGTCTTTGGATTCCAATCCTTCAGCTAGCTCTCTTAATTTCGGGTCGGCTAGTTGTTTAAACATCAGCTTGTCCTCTATGTCGAGAGGAGTCGATTCCGGGTATTTAATGTTTCATTTATTCAAGCAAGGAGTCGATTCCGGGCATTTAATGTCGATTCTGAATCCGTACACATGTTTTCTATTCAGCCGACATGCCGATTCTGTATCCGCACACATCTTTTGTATTCAGCCGACATCATTTATATTCAGTCGTGGTGTCAATTCTATGTTGTTTATTCTATTACTATTGTTTATAAATATAATTCAACCTATATCGAGTTTGGTATCACTTTAATCAGAATAATTTCACAAATGCGTTAGTAAAAGTTTCATTGAGAAAAGGTTAAAAATAAAAAGGTTTTATCGTTGAATTAGTATTAGTCACACCAATATTACGGTAGGATCATATTACACGGTTTCCTGGTCGGGCGGCTCGGTTCGCCTATGGGGATCCCCCCAAGTGGAGGGGATAGCGATGTTTCACTTATCCAAGCATTCTTTCGTTGAATTTATCCAGGTTTTACTGTAGTTCGGTTTCTGCTCCTGGGTTATATATACATAAGACTGGCGGGGTCGTTAATTCCTCCTTTATTTTCCTAAACGCTTCTTCGCATTCCTCATTAAACTTAAATTCCACATCTTTTTTCATGAGTGCTTGCAACGGTTGTGTTTTGATAGAATAGTCCTTGATGAACCTTCGAAAATAATTCGCTAAACCTAAAAAGCTTCTTAATTCTTTAATATCTTTTGGTTGAGGATACTCTAATATTGTTTGAACGTGACGTGTACACATAGTAATGCCTTCACTCGTAATCAGGTATCCTAAATATTCGATTTGTTTGCTCAAAAATGTACATTTTGCTAAATTCAATTCTAAATTGTGTTTCCTTAAACATACCAGTACCTCTTTTAAGATAGTTAAATTCTCTGTACAGTAAAAGCTGGATATATGCAACAAAAGTTTGGCTGGATATATGCAACATCGCTATCCCCTCCACTTGGGGGGATCCCCCTAAACCGAACCGAGCCGCTCGGCAAGGAAACCGTGTAATATGATCCGACCGTAATATCGGTGTGACTAATACTAATTGAACGATAAAACTTTTTTATTTTTAACTTTTTCTTAATGAAACATTTACTAACGCATTTGTGAGATTTTTCTGATTAAAACGATACCAAACTCGATATAGGTTGAATTATATTTCTAAACAATAGTAATAGAATAAACAACATAGAATTGAGACCACGACTGAATATAAATGATGTCGGCTGAATACAAAAGATGTGTACGGACACAGAATCGTCATGTCGGCTGCAAAGAAAACATGTGTACGGACTCAGAATCAACACCTCGCTTGGATAAATGAAACATTAAATGCCCAGAATCGACTCCTTGCTTGAATAAATGAAACATTAAACGCCCAGAATCGACTCCTCGCTAGGATAAATGAAACCTTTGAAACCAAAGCCGACACCGCGACTGGTTTGGATTTCGATCTCTCTTGCTTTTCGCCAACTTATAACATCAATTTTAGCAAGTAATTATAATTGAAACTATATCGTGTTTGGTACCACTTTACTCACAAAAATCTCACCAATGCGCTAGTAAAAGTTTCACTCAAAAAAAGTCAAAAATAAAAAAGTTTTTTGATTCAATTAGTATTAGTCACACCGATACGTTTCGGCTCTTTCCTTTGATTTCGGACCTCTCTCTTTCCACCACTGTCTGTCCCTTTCTACGTTCACGCTTGGCTGGTCGTCGCGTGTCATCCGAGCTTCGATACCGTGCTTAGGTAAACGCAACCACTGGGTCCCAATCTTGGTTGAATTTATCCAGGTTTTACTGTAATTCGTTAACCACGTGCTCGTTATTTAAGATGGCTTCCCTTCTCTAGAAACGATCTCTACCGACAAAGGACTGTAACCGTCTTCCAATATGGCTTCCCTTTTTCGCGGAATGTTCCCAAACAATCAGTTACCTTCGCGATTTATTCGACACTACCGAGTTCCTTTTCGGTCACTAATAGTCTAAATTGTCTTATAAACTCACCAAAATCAAATAGTCCACACCAATTAGCAATTGAGAGGCAGGCCAATCCCATTTCTGAAATTTTAACTCTGTAAGAACTTCTGCCGACACGTGGTAAGAAATCCTTATATTTTGTTTTCACTTCTTGTACACACCTTCGACAAGCGTTTGTTTTCAGTTATAACGAAATAAAGTGTGACACAACGCTATTTTTTTTGTATAAGTTCCTTTTCGCCTTGTCGAAAATCAATTATAATGCCGTGCTCGACAAATTAGTACTGAACAGGCTTACTGTGAGAATGTAGTGTATAATATACGATAAAATCGTTTTGAGATTCGCAGGAAGATCGTTGAATAATCGCTGTGAGACCTGGAACACCAAGAAAGATGAGAGGCTGATGTCGTACTAACACTTGTCGCGCACCCGTTTGCCGTTTATTGCAAATAAGAAATTAAATAAGACGTAACACAAGACGATTACAAATTTCGGAATAAATAGAATAATTAACGCGATTGAATTTAATACGAATATTACGCGATCAAACGGATTAAAAAGAAAGAGAAATGATAGAGATTTAATAGTATGAAATGGCTTTACGTGCGCGTCTCTGAGTTCTTGCCGCGTATTTGGAATTTCACCCTCGCGACACTCTGCCTACGATTAGGACTTGCCGCGCAGCTAAATTACACAAAGTACAACGACAACTCTATCTCTAGACGCACGGGCTCCCGTCACGACTTACTCGATTGTTCGACGAAGAGTAATCAGAATCGATCGCGATCCTAGCCGGAAGGGCCGTCGCGAGGACGATGTCCTGCGTGGGGACATCTTAACAAATCATAGCGTGTGACGGTAGCGTCACGTGCGTCGCTATTGGTTAAGGGCGCGTGTCAGACAAAATCTTCTAGATCATATTCTCTCTCTCTTCTGGTGTTCCATCTCTGTCTAACGGCTTTTCGGTGTTTCTACGCCGCACAGTGGAACAAAACGGCTTTCGGCGATCAAAATTCAATTTTCGTGAATTCGAAAATTGAAAAACTAATTACATATATCGATAGAGAATAAACTGTAGTTTAACGTAGTGTGATCCATTTTTTCATATTTGCTTCCGTTTTGCCGTGGTTCGCACTCAAAGTCAGTAGAAATTCGTCAAAACAAAACGCTGATAATATTACCCGTAACTTCAATGTACGATTCTAATGAATTTTATTCGGAAAGATACAATTCAAATGAATGATAAAGTTTACTAGGATAGTATAGATTATATTCAGTGCATAAAGTAAGTTAAAATGTTAACAACTTTTTAAATAATAGGATCTGATTGAAACGAAGTACATTTAACCAAAATCTCAACTTTGAGTTTGATTTAAAAAAAATGCCACAACTTGCCACATGTTTAATTATTATTGCAGGAAAGAGTGAACCTTCCTCTATCAGAATCTGAAAAATTCGGGTGCACTTTTTTGCACTTTTTTAAGAAACTGGCGATTGAATGAAATTACACCCATCTTGACCGCTGAGCACGAAGATGGAAAAGCAATAATAGACACGATTATTATCCAGTTAACTGCCTTATTAACTATTATTATTAATCATTGCAACGTATATATTCGTCATCCAAAATTATATTTAGGTTTAATAAAAGTGTTCAATATAACAACTATTAATAAATAATAGGATCTGAGTGAAACGAAGTACATTTAACCAAAATCTCAACTTTGAGTTTGATTTAAAAAAAAAGCCACAACTTGCCACATGTTTAATTATTACTGCAGGAAAGAGTGAACCTTCCTCTATCAGAATCTGAAAAATTCGGGTGCACTTTTTTGCACTTTTTCAAGAAAATGGCGATTGAATGAAATTACACCCATCTTGGCCGCTGCGCGCGAAGATGGAAAAGCAGTAACAGATACGATTATTATCCAGTTAACTACCTTATTAACTATTATTATTAATCATTGCAACGTGTATATTCGTCATCCAAAATTTTATTTCCGTCTTGCAATATGCCATAATAAATTTTCATAATTGTCGAAACTATTTTCACGAATGATTTGGTATAGATCATAATAAATATAAATAAATATATTATAATAATACATGTCTTGTCATTTTTTAATTATTAAATAAGTTTTTATTATAGTTATTAACAGTTTTGAGTCAAATTTTTATTAAATGACATAAAATATGTCTAACAAGTGATGGATATTGAACGCGTTACAATTTATACGCGAATATCTTGATACCCTGTAGTTCAATATGATTTATATTTATACAACTTAAGTACCATAATGTAGGCAAAAACTTCCCAAAATGTCATTAAAATATTTCCAATAGAACCGAAGTTACAGAATTTTGATCGTCAAAAGCAGTTTTGTCCCACTGTGCGCCGTAGAATTTCTGGAATGTTCTACTCTCATCGATAATTCCAATATTAGATATAAAATTGATGCGATTATCAACTAATAGTTTAAATCAGAATTATTGAACAATAAATACGCGGATAATTATGAACATGAACTATATCTGTTGTACTATTATGTATGAATAATGGACCGGCTATTCCCTAATTAACAATTGGCTTGTCCATAATCATTTTGTTCGCAAAGAAATCGATCAACAATACGAATTGCGGTAGTAGCGCAAGTTGATCGTAAAAAAAAATCCTAATAGCATACGATGATTTAACTGATAATTTCAGCAGTATTCAATTGTTCGATATTCGAATATTCATTCCTGTATTCGCAGCGAACTTTGTTCGAGAACGATCTTTCTGTTCAAAATCGTACCGTTGGGTCTTAGTTTCAGGTAATTCTTGGAATTCGATACAATGACTTTTATTACCCTGTGTGACCCTTCGTCTCTAGACAGTTCTCGCATGTTGCTAACGTTCGCTGGTGAGGGTTCTCTATCCTCGCCCTTTGCACTCGTTCGAATATTTGAATTTCATGCTATTTCATACTTTCATTCCAACACTCAATTCGCACATACGATCGGGTTTGGGACCGACTAGCGCCTACGCGTGAAAAAGAGGAGAGTATCGGTT